AGGAGTGACGTTGACCTGGAGCTGGTCGACCAGAGGAGTGGTCGACTTGGTGTGGTTGTCGACTTGGGAGGTCGACGAGCACATACAGGAGCAGCTGGTCGACATAGTTGCCCGGTCGACCAGGATACCTGGGTGACGAGGTTCTGCGAAGGAGTGGCGACGGTCACCCAGGCAAAGTTGGCAAGACCCAACCTCCATGGTGGTATCCGAGGTCGTCGTGGCAGATCAGAGGCAGCCGTCAGTCTGAGGCTGACGTGGTGTGTGTGCTGTGCAGGTGATGAGGCTCGGTATACCAATCATCTGCACACACCTGCAGAGCGGGTGCACTGCTGGCACACCGTCGACCTCCAGCGTTGGAAAGGTGTCGACTTTGCACTGCTGGAGCGCGGTCGACCAAGTCGTGTTGGAACGCGGTCGACCATGCTGTGCTGGCAGTTGACCAACCTGAGTGCTAGCTCTGATGTAGTCTTGCATTGCCAACTTCATTGGCCCCATTATTGTTGTGATCTTTTCTTAGTGAAACTCTTGCCAAATTGCCCTGTGAACTAGCAAGTAGTGTGAGCACTAGGAAAATGTCTAAGGACCAACGAACGCAGACATCACACGAGCTCACGTGCCTAGCCAGTACTCTAAGCTCCCGTTGTAGTAGTTATCTCCGCATCAGCAACCCCAGGCTCAGCACCCCCAAGCTCAGCACCCGTAGGCTCCGCACCCCTGGACTCAGCACCCCCAAGCTCCACACCCCCGAACCCGGCACCCGCAGGCACAGCACCTCGAGCAGCACCAGAGTCAACAGCTACCTCGACAGGCTCGACTGCGTCTACCTTGGACACCCCTGACAGGGCAGGACCCTGAGGAGGGAGGGGGTCTACCTGGGGAGGACATGGCGCAAGGAAGAGCGGCGGCGGGGGGAGGGGCGCAGTGCGGTAGGGGAAGAGATGGTAGTAAGGCACCGACTCGTCAAAGGTGACGTCTTGGGAGGACAGAACACGGCGCGAGGTGGGGTGGTAAAACTGCCACCCAGGCGCGTCAGGGGGGGAAGCCAAGGAAGACGCAAGGAGTAGCACGAGGGGACAGCTTGTCCGCAGACAAGTCGCGGACAAAACGCCCGAGATCCCCGGACCCGAAACGCCGACGCATCGCCAACCTTCCCCGTCCACAGCAAGGCTGGGGAGGTCTCCGGCCTGGAGACCCTGGGGTGAAGGTTGATCTGATGCGTCGCGTACCTGACCGCAAACGGCCACAGAAAATGGGGGGCAGCCGCATGCATCATAGACGTACGAGCGACGTCCATGACCATGCCAATGCGGCGCTCAGCAATCCCATTTTGCTGTGGAGAGGCCGGAAGCCTGAAGGTTTTGACGGATGCCCTGTGCACGATAGAAGGCTCCCAGATGGGCAGAGGAAAACTCCCCGCCTCTGTCAGAGTGCAGACGCAAAACAGGAAAGTCCGGGCCGAAACTCTTTCTGAGCTCGAGACGAGCTGCGCGGATCCAGTCAATCAACACCTCAGTGACGTCACCCTTGCTGCGCAAGGGGAAGACTGTGGTGTAAAGCGAGTAGTCGTCCACCACCAACAGGAAGTAACGCTCGTGCCCCTATCCACGGACGCGGGCGGGGCCCCACACGTCCATGTGAAGAGTTTGCAGTGGAGCCTCTATCGGAGGAAACTCGGAGGAGTGAGGGGCGGCGCGCTATCGCCCCTCGACGCAAGGGACGCAGGTAGGGGCAGGCCCCGGAGGTAGGGGAGGGAGAGACCAGGGAAGACCTGAGACAAGGACACGGGAGGCCATGCCTCGGAGACGAGGCAGGGAGGGGTGACCAAGGCGGTGGTGCAAAAGGAGAGTCTTGTGGGACCGGAGACGACACGAGCAGGGAGCAGACTTAGGACCAGACCTGGACGCTGCAGCTAACACCTGACTCGACACAGCTACCTGACCAGACTCAGCAGTAGGAGGAGACTCAGTAGTAAGTGTGTACAGGTTCGACCCCGGCCGGCGGGTGAACGTGGCCAAGTGTCGGCCTGTCCGAGCAGACGTGCAGTGGGTCTCTTGCTGACTCGCAGGAGTGAACAGGTCAACCCCCCTATCCCGTAGATCAGCTCCACTCACCAAGTTCGTAGAGAACGAGGGGAGGTAGGGACTTGACAGGGTGCCAAAGGGGGCTGCCGGGTACGGTAAGACAGTGGAGAAGCTAGCAAGGACAGGACCACCAGAGGGGTCCGCCAGGGAGACCGCAACCGGCCGACTAAGCGGTGTAAGCGTGGTGCGGTCTCGAAAGAAGGAGCGGGAAGCACCCAAGTCAAGGGTGAAGGTGTGTAAGGCCTGAGCCAACGTGGTACCTGAGAGAGCAGACTCACCAGCACCTAGGGCAGCAGATGTACTAGCACCTAGAGTAGCAGCCTCACCAACACCTAGAGCAGCAGACTGGATACCGGGGTCAGGCGGCTCACACAGGTGACAGACTCCCTCGGCAATAGTAGACAATGCATACATTGCAGTGAGAATAGCATCATAGTCAAGATCAAAGATGTCTACCCTCTGCCTAAGCAGCTACATCCAGTTGGGGAGCTCAGCCTCGTCGCCAAACTCTGTACGCCAAGTGTCGCTCAGACGCGCGAAGCAGCGGGACTCTGTGTGACCACGCGTCCCGCAAGTCTGACCAGTCCGAACACCCGTGCTAATAACGTACGGGCACCGAGCAGTACTCAGCGACCCTCCACTCTGAGTGTACCACTCACAAAGCTTCTAGGGTGAAAGAGTCTCGCGCGGACAACGCTGCTGCTACACCGGGCCACTACAAGAAACTCCCAAACTACCCACTCTAGGACGACTCCCACTATTGCCACCCCGACAACCCCAACTGGTGTACCACTCACGAAGGTGTTAGGTGGTGAGGGACTCACGCGGGCGACGCTGGAGCTGCATCCTGCCACTACAAGCAGCTACAGAACTACTTACTTCAGGACGACTCCCACTACGGCCACCCCAACTAGCGTACCACTCACGAAGCTGTTGGGGGGTGAGGGACTCACGCGGGCGACGCTGGAGCTGCATCTTGCCACGCCTGGAGCAGCAGTAGTTGTAAAAAGAGCAGTAGTAGTATGAGCATCAGTAATAGCAGTACGGGCAGGGCAAGTGCTTACCAGTGGCGAGAAGGGCAGGCGGATGACGGCGGCAACGGCGATGCCGCTACCACTGTAGAGCAAGAGCTCCGCGGTAGCTGCAGGGGTGGCTGCTCCAGGGGCGGGTGCTGTAGTGGCGGCTGCTCCAGGGGCGGTTGCTGCAGTGGCGGCTGCTGCAGGGGCGGCTGCTGCAAAGGCGGCTGCTCCAGGGGCGGCTGCTACAGTGGCGGCTGCTCTAGGGGCGGCTGCTACAGTGGCGGCTGCTCCAAGGGTGGCTGCTGTAGTGGCGGCTGCTCCAGGGATGGCTGCTGAAGTGGCGGCTGCTCCAGGGGCGGCTGCTCCAGTGGCGGCTGCTCCTAGGGCGGTTGCTGCTGCCCGGCGGTTCGGCGGCTCGGCTGCCCGCTAGGGGCGGCAACGGGGCCGGGTAGGGGCGGCGACGGGGCCGCTAGGGGCGGCGACAGGGCCGCGTAGGGAGGGGAGCGGGGACGGGGCCGCTAGGGGCGTCGACGGGGCCCGCGTAGGGGCGGCTACGAGGCCGCGTAGGGGCGGCGACGGGGCCGCGTAGGGAGGTCAGCGGCGACGGAGCCGCTAGGGGCGGCTACGGGGCCGCTAGGGGCGGCGACGGGGCCGCGTAGGGGCGGCGACGGGGCCGCGTAGGGGCGGCTACGGGGCCGCGTAGGGAGGGGAGCAGCTACGGGGCCGCTAGGGGCGGCGACGGGGCCGCATAGGGGCGGCGACGGGGCGGCGTAGGGGCGGCAACATGGCCGCGTAGGGAGGTCTGCGGCGACGGGGTCGCGTAGGGGCGGCTACGGGGCCGCGTAGGGAGGGGAGCGGCTATGGGGCCGCTAGGGGCGGCGAGCCCCTCCCCTCGTGGCTGATCTGCGCGAGCTGACTCCTCTGTCGGCCTCCGGCGATGAGGGGAGTAGTGGGACGTTGCCTTCAGTGCCGGCCAAGGGCATCGCCGGTGGCCGACGTGACGAGCAGCAGGTCGACGTGGGATTGAAGCCGACGCCGATAGGGGAGGAACAGGTCAAGGAGCAGAAGCCGACAGGGGAGCAGACAGCAGTGAAGCCGACCACGGAGCAGTCGGCAACCGGGCAGTCGGCAAGGGAGCCGACCACAGGGGAGAGGTCGACCACGAAGCCGACCGCGGTGCAGCACAACGACGAGGGCAGTGAAGCCGGAGATGCCGGGGAGTACACCAAAAGTGACATGGTGGAGGTTCGGCCGGAACCCTGGAAGTCGGACAGAGTTCGGAGGCCGCCGTACTTCTTTGTCCCCGCTTCCTTCACCACGGTGTACGACGTGGACGATGACGACAACCTGCTGTACGACGACGCCGAGGAGGATGAGGAGTTTCTGGAGCTCGACCCCGACATGCATGCCGACCCCGAGCACCGCTGGGACATCTCGACCATGACGGTGAAGGAGACGTTGGCGAGCTGGAAGGGCCCGGCGGTGAAGGCCGCCATGGAGGAGGAGATCCACAGCCTCATCAACATGGGCACTTGGGAGTTGGTCGGACGCCCGCCGGGAGTCAACATCATGAAGAACCTGTGGGTGCTGACGACGAAGTACCATGTCAACGACACCAACGAGCGCAAGAAGGCGAGGCTGGTCATGAAGGGCTTCACGCACGTGTACGGCGCCGACTACGACAAGACGTTTGCGCCGGTGGGCAGCTACGTCACGCTGAGGATCTTCCTCAGCATCGTCGCCGTCCTCAACCTCAACCTGATGCAGCTCGACATGAAGAACGCCTTCCTGCAGAGCAAGCTTGACCGGGTGCTCTACATGGCCCGGCCAGACTACATCAACGACGGAACCCGCCGAGTGTGCAAGCTGCTGAAGAGCCTGTACGGGCTGAAGGAGTCGCCGCTGTGGTACTTGGCGCTCAACGACGTGCTGGTCGACGCCGGGTGGAAGAAGAGCCAGGTCGACGAGGCTCTGTACTTTAAGGTTGGTGACGACGGAGTGGCCTGCTGGGTGCTGGTCTACGTTGACGACCTGCTCGCCGCCAACAGCAGCACCGAGATGCTGAAGGAGCTGAAGGGGCTGCTGGAGTCCGCCTTCGAGCTGTGTGAGATCTCGCCGGTGCAGGAGTACCTCGGACTGGAGATCATCCGCGACAGGTCGGCGGGGAAGCTGTGGCTGCATCAGCAGGGCTACGCCGACAAGCTGCGTAGGCGCTTCATTGACGAGGAGCAGACCGGGCGCACCCCGAAGACGCCGGTCTCGGTCGACGCCTACGCGGAGCTCAACTTCGACGATGAGGAGGCACAGGAGCGACAGGAGGAGGAGTACCGGCACAAGGTCGGCTCGCTGCAGTTCGCGGCGACAACGACGAGGCCGGATGTCGCCTTCGCCTGCAGCAAGCTGAGGAGCGGCCTCACGGTGAGAAGCGACCAGCACTAGCACGAGGTCGACCGCTGCCTCGCCTACCTCGCCAACACACGTGACATCGCCTTGGAGCTGGGCGGTGGACCTGAGTCGCTGGAGCTGGTCGGCTACGTGGACGCCGATGACGCCGGTGACAAGCAGAACAGGACGAGCACGGGTGGCTACGTGTTCGTCTATGGAGGGGCCGCAGTCTTGTTGTCGAGCCAGCGCATCAAGTGCGCGTCGTTGTCGTCGACTGAGTTGGAGTACGTGGTAGCCACCGAAGCCGGCAAGGAAGGACGCCGGCTTCGCTTCCTCCTTGCAGAGTTCCGGCAGCTAGATGTCGGGAAGCTGTCGACTTTGCACTGCTGGAGCGCGGTCGACCAAGTCGTGCTAGAACGCGGTCGACCATGCTGTGCTGGCAGTCGACCAATCTGAATGCTCGCTCTGATATAGTCTTGCCATGCCAACCTCATTGTACCGTTGTTGTCAACTTTCTCTAGTGAAACTCTTGCCAATTTGCCCCATGAACTAGCAAGCAGTGTGTGCACTAGGAAAACGACTAAGGACCAACGAACGCAGAGATCACAGCACGCGTGCCTAACCCATAGTCAAGCTCCCGTTGTAGTAGTTATCTCCGTAGTCACAGACCCAGCAGGAGATAATAGAGGAGGAGTCACTGCCGCAGTAGGAGAGGGTAGCACAGGAGTCCCGGTCGCAGCAGGCGGGTGCAGCTGCAGTTGCAGCAGGAGAGGGCAGAGGCGGAGCCATAGGAGCATAAGTAGGGGCCGGTACCATCGCAGCAGACACCAGAGGAGGCGGAGCAGCAGCGATTGTGACTACGCGCCCTCCCTGACCCCGCACCTGCACGCTTTGTTCGTGGTCCCCTACCGTCCCCTCCTGTTCCTTTTGTTGAGTCCCTTTCCTCGTCCCAGTGGACTCGTCGTTCTCCCCTCACTCGTGCTGTGTCCCCAGAGCGTCGTTGGTCCCATGACCGTGCAGATGGTCTGTTCCACCTTGTTCTTCGATCTTGTATTCCACCTCATGTCCTTCCATAGCCCCTTATGTCGTCCCTCACTCTGCTTCACGACCCGTTGTCCAACTACCTCCGTGCCTCCCGTCCTGTCGCCTCCCGTGTTTTGTCTGCGTTGGTCACTCACCCGACTGCACCTCTGTCGTCTGTCTCAGCTGTTGTTACCGCTGTCCTGGCCTTGCCTCTTCCCACCACCTTGACTACGCCGCTCACGTGGTGAGTGGCCCTGCTCGTTCTCCGTTCCCTAGGGGTACTTCTGTCTTTCTCTTGGAGGTCCTCGAGGACATGCAGTTCGAGCTTGGTTTCCTTACGGTCGCTGTTCCTCATCTATGCGCCATGCTACTTGCCCCTAAGGGGGATTCAGACGCCCTTGACATCCCGATCCCTTGCACTCACGCCGAGGCGGTCTCAGGACCCTAGGCTTCATACTGGATAGCAGCTGAGGAGGCAGAGATGGCATCTTATAGGTCCACAGGCACTTACGTTAATGCAGTCCCACCTCCTGGGACGAACGTCGTCTCGTCAGTGCCCAATGGCTCTACAAGGTGAAGCGGCCGCCTGGATCACCACGTGTGTTCAAGGCGCGCTATGTGGCGAGAGGCTTCAGTCAGCTAGAGGGGGTGGACTTCTTCCAGACCTTCGCTCCCACCCCAAAGATGAGTACCCTTCGGGTGTTGCTGCATATTGAAGCCCAGTGCGACTACGAGTTGCACTCCTTGGAATTTTCTACCGCGTTCCTTCAGGGGAGCCTGCACGAGCAGATGTGGCTGCGTCGCCCGCCTGGCTTCACTAGCTCTTTCCCACCTGGGACCCAGTGGCAGCTGTGTCGACCAGTCTACGGCCTGCGTCAGGCTCCACGTGAGTGGCATGACACACTTCGATCGACTCTTGCAGCTCTTGACTTCTTTCCGTCGTCTGCTGACCCGTCACTGTTCGTTCGCCGTGGCTCAACCTCGTTCTTTGTCCTAGTCTACGTTGACAACCTGGTGGTCACCACTCCCGACCGACACACGCTGGCATCCGTGAAGGAGAAACTGCAGAGGAGACACACTTGCATTGACCTTGGTGAGCTGCAGCACTACCTTGGCCTGCAGATCACCAGGGGTAGGGCAGCTCGCACTATTACGCTGACTAAGTCGCATATGGTTGAGCAGATCCTCACGCAGTTTTGCTTCCCGTTCTCCAAGGTACAGCTCACCCCTCTTGGTGTGGATCATGGGCTCACGTTTCCACCTTTCGACAAGCCATTTGAGTCCAGCGGTCCATATCCTGAGCTGGTGGGTTGTCTCATGTACCTGATGACCTGCGCTCGCCCAGACCTAGCTTACCCTTTTAGCATCCTTGCGCGCTTTGTTGCACCTGGGAGACACCGACCTTCCCACTGGTACGCGGCAAAGAGGGTGGCAAATTATGTGGCGAGTACATCAGGCATGGGACTTGTCCTTCGAGGGAAGCAGCCAGTTACTCTCACAGGTTACTCGGACTCATCGTGGGCCAACGACGCGGAGATGCGTCGGTCTACACAGGGGTACTCCTTTAGCCTCGGGGCAGGTGCTGTTTCGTGGCGGTCGACTCTGGCGTCGTCTCTCGCCGGTTCCAAATGTGAGGTAGAGGTGTACGCTGCGGCCATGGCCGCTCAGGAGCTTCGTTCGCTGTCTTTCCTTCTCACCGACCTTGGTGAGCGGCCTCGCTCTCCCCCAGTCTCATTCGCCGACATCAGGTCTGCTGTCCTGTTGTGTGAGGAGTCCCGACTGGTTGGGAAGGCGAAGCACCTCCAGCTTCGTTACTTCCTTCTGTGTGAGTTGCAGCAACGTGGCCAGGCCCGCGTGATACGTGTGGTCTCTGAGGCCAACACTACAGATATCTTCACCAAGGCGTTGCCCCCTTGTGACCACTAGCGCTGCTGCACACAGTTTGGCCTTGTGCGTGCCTGCCCTCACTTGCTTACGTACAGATGCCTTGTCCTGCATGTCTTGTACTTTTGAATCTCTATATATTTGCTATATTCCTGCATGTTGGCTGGCCTTGTGGCCCCTTGCTTGCTCTCGGAGTGTGTGGTGACTTTGAGCTCCACCCCAAGATTTGTCTTGTTCTTGTGAACTGGTCTTGTGACCGTTGCTTGCTCTTGTTGTTTCTACAGGACTACTGTCACCTAGACTATGGGGGTGTGTCGAACTAAAAATCCTATACTCTTTGTAGTTTTGGTCTAGGTGTTCTCCCTTGTGTTATTTTGTAGTTGCACTAGTGTTAGGTTTTGCATATATCTTGTATGTGCTTTATGTTTGAGTCAATTTTACATTGTGACACTGTGGTA